AGTACTTCATTTTTCACCACCCTCGTTTATATTACTACATGGAATTTCAAACATAATCATAACTCGTAAGTATAGCTGTGATTTTAGAATATTGTCAGATGTTAATGTTAGATGATTAGATGTTAAAATCTAACTAAAGTAATCTGTACTTGAGTAAAACAAAACGGGTGAGATCAAATTCAACAATACAGAGGTATGCTGTTCATAAAACGTTATTAAATCCTGAAATATGGAAGTGTGGTGCCGACAAATGCAGTAAATAGGTCGTTTTTACCTGTTACTTTATCGTAAAGGTTGAGGGTGTTTCCTGTCGGGAGTAACAATAATCCTAATAAAAATAATATCCAATTGACAAAGGTATGCGGTACACAAACATATAAATACAAATATAAAAACTAACAACATAAATGACACACAAAAATATAAATTAGATATTGAAACATGTTGTGGAAGAAGTGCAGGCACCCCCAAAAATAGTAATTTTATTATTGTGACAAAGTTTATCAAAATCGGTTCCATTGTGCCTTTCCATTTTACAGAGCATATAATTTTCTAATTATTAAGCAATATCTCCACGTACCTGGTTACATAGCGATGCTGGACCTCTCGCCTCGAACTCCACCTCATTCACAGTTTGCACTATAGAACATATCGCGTGCGCAACACTCAACTTTTCGAGATACGACTTGGAATACATTTTGATATATCACAAAGGTCATCAACTAGTTTCGCCGGAAGTTCAACAAAAACTAAATTTGGATCCGTTCTTTGTAAAAGCAGCCCTTTTCGGGAAATCCCAAGGGTTGGTATGTTTACTAGAGTACCCACCCATTTTGCATATTGTTTTGCCACGGGCAGGTAAGTAATCACCTCCAATGCAATTAAACCTATCACTTACATGATTTATTGAGCCTGATAGTGGATTTCAAAATACCAACGACCATGGGAAATTGAGATATTTCTCAGTTGGTGATGATTTCCAAGTTTCCTGGTTTTCAAATTCCAAAAATTAAAAAGTATATATAACACAATAGACAGATAGATAACTAATTATAGATATTAACTAGATCATCTCATCGATATACTGCACATCATTATCGCACATAAAGAATAATAGTAATATACATAGATACATAATAAGTATAGATACATTCAAAAACAAAGATATTCGTTAAGATTAAACTGACATTGGCAAGAGAAAAACATGTATGTGAAATGTATTACTAAACTATAGCTAAAATTGCACATATGAATTTCCATGTCAATTGAATGGTCGCTCGCGTCGTACGGTACCCACCCCATCGTTTTAGCAATTATATATAAGTTGTGGTTATATTGCTCTAGCTGTTACCCGCGAGTCCCTAAGCGTTAAATTTGTTACTAACCATATAACATCGGTTTTGAGTATTTCTATGACTGCATTGTACAGTAAATTAACAGTCAGCTTGCCTGCTTGGAAATCATGGTTATTTTATTGTGGAGACAGACTGCGGGGATAAAAACACGGTCCGGACGGCTAACGTATTAATATTAGCATTTTAAATTAAACTAAATTTTACATCGTAAAAGTTACTAAATTTAAATCTTCTGCAGACAGACTCTCATCCTTGACAATATTTAGATATATGAAGATTCCAAGCAATCTCAAATAAACTTGAACGTGTCCTTTAATCCCTTATCTGGCCCTGCCACAAAATCCATTTTCCTGAGATGTCCTGACTATAAACTACCTTCCTGACAGAACTCTTTTTTGTTTCCGACATTTCGTCATTAATGTGTGTCTTTACGCTTTTACATAAATATAATGCCGTCAGTACATGGAGTACAGGAAAAAGCTAATTTGAATAGCAAAAACATACGTGACAACTGAAGATAGATCTGCTAAATAGTTGGAACTTTGTACAGTGTAATTGATAATAGATCATTTTTAAGTTCCCTACATATACGAGTATAAACAAGGAAGAGGAGCAAATCCGCGTATTCTGGTTTTGGTTTAGCAACCTGGCAAGTAGGGTGTGATAGAGTAGGATCTATTAATACCAAAAGTGCAGAAAACTTTTTGGCTTTCAAACATTTTGACAAACATCTTTGTTCAAGTTTGCTATATACATAGGGGCTCACAATAGGCGGGTTCTGGACTTGCTTTCGGAAAACGGCTAGTAGGGAGTGATAAGGTAGATTATATTGATGCCAGAAATGTAAAAAAATTTTGGGTCTTCGGCTGTTTTGACGAATAATAGATTTTTTCAACTTTGTCATGTATAAATAAAGAGGGGTCAAAAACGGAGGGTTCCGGACTTGGTTTGGGGGAACGGCTAGTAGAGTGTGATAAGGTAGATTATATTGATGCCAGAAATGTAAAAAAAAAATGGGTCTTCGGCTGTTTTGACGAATAATAGATTTTTTCAAATTTGTCATGTATAAATAAAGAGGGGTCAAAAACGGAGGGTTCCGGACTTGGTTTGGGGAAACGGCTAGTAGGGAGTGATAAAGTGGATTATACTGATGCCAGAAATGTAAAAAAATTTTGGGTCTTCGGCTGTTTTGACGAATAATAGATTTTTTCAAATTTGTCATGTATAAATAAAGAGGGGTCAAAAACGGAGGGTTCCGGACTTGTTTTGGGGAAACGGCTGATATGGTGTGATTGACTAGATCATATTCATGCGAGAATTGTCCAAAACATTTTGGTCTTGGTCGGTTTTGAAAAGCTATAGATGATTATATAGCTTCTAAAATATTAGGTTTTAAAGGGGGGTCAATTTGCGGTATCTGTGAACGAGATAGCACGGATTTGAACTTGGCGTAAGTAAAATATGCTTTTTCTAATCAATTGACGTGAAAACCGCATTTCTCCAGGTTTATTTTAATGTAATATCAATTTTTTCGCGTTTCTCCTCACTTTGAGGAAGATTTTGGAGGAGGGAGATAAAACTCTTACAGTACATAGAAAGCCCGTAATACAATCGAACTACGTGAAAACCGCATCGACTTATGTTTATTTGGACCCAAATTACGTCAGTAGAAGTGGTAATGGCAAATTTTCGTCACTGCTGCCTTTTTACCGTTTCGATCAGAGCGTGATCGATCGGAACTTCAGCCGCATGGCAACTAACCGAACAGAAATCAGTTTTCAACTACAGGTAGGTATGTGGAAACAGCACAAAATGAATATTTCTGACAAATTTTGTTGCAGATTATCACGAGCAAGACGTGTCATAGAAAATAGTTTTGGGATACTTGCAAGTAGATGGAGAGTTTATCGCTCTCCTCTGCTATGCTCCATAAAAACAACAGAGGCTGTGGTAAAAGCTACAATATGCCTACATAATTATTTGAAAACTGAGACACCAACGACATATGTACCACCTACATTAATAGACTCCTTGAAGGATGATGGTGGAACAAATAGGGATGGTGAATGGAGAGAAATCATCCAAAATGACACCAATTGGCAGAGTGGGAGCAAATATATCAGCCAGTGCAACTATGGCTTTGAGAGACAAGCTAGCAGAATATTTGATATCAGATGCTGGAGCAGTGTCATGGCAAATGGCATATGTTAACAGAGGAAGATTTTGAAATATGCTAGCATACTGTCTATTGTATGGAAATTAAAAGCATAGTAGTATTTTTTAGTATCAATTTTTATAAATAAAAGTAGCAAGTATACATTTTTGTATATTTTATTCCTACACATTAAAAGAATGACATAATATATTTCAGATATCTTCATTCTCAATATATTTAACTAGTAACTCCATGACTTCTTTTTTAAATTTAATTTTTTTCTTCAGTGGCAGATGTTGCATGTCATCGAGAATGGACTTCATAAAATGTGTGACACTGTTTTCAGTATTTTCACCAAATCTTTTCTCACATATTTTTGAAAAATTTTGTAAAGCTGTGGCCATTGACTCCTGGATGCTCTTTTTGTGTCCACATGCACTATCAGGTCTGGATGAATGTGAGCTGGTAGGTCTAGACTGGGTAGGCTCAGGTGACAATACACCATCTGATCCCACAACATAATCATCTAGTAATGGTTCAGACTCAACCTCCTCAATGTATGGCACTTTTGAAGCACTTTCTGGGGCAGTCGAGGATATCAGCCTGAAATATAATAGAGTTGTCTTAACATACAAAGAGGACTGGTATATTCATAAAAATCAAAAACAAATAGTTCATTCCACCTGACCATTATAAACTTCAGGTGTAATTTTTATTGAAGTACTTATAAATGAAGGTTTAATAATTGGGTGACAAAAAGTACACACTGAACTCTCAGCGCCAGCCTACAATGGGTGGCACTATGTAGACCTCAAAATGATTCAATTACACTGTATGACTTACTTTCTCTTCCTGATGAATGGTATTAACCACATCATTATTTCAAAGTATGGGAAGTCCGGTTGTTGTTGTGTTCCTCCACCTGAACCTGAAGGAAGCACAGTATTGTATTGTCTATAGGCTCGAACAAACCTGTCTCTCAGGTTGTCCCACCTCTTTTTCACTATGGCTGCTGCAAAAGAGTTAAATCTGTTATGAAGTTTTATCATGTATTGTTGAATTATAAATTCTGTGCACTAACATAAACCAGCGTATAATGAGTTAATACGAAATGACTAAGAGCTTCAATTTACGCTATTTAAATGGAATCTTGTAATACCATTATGAGTGGAAAGCTAAAAGATTTTTCGCATTTGTTCACATTATAAACAAAAAATGTATAATCGTATCGCTAAGGACGCTAAGCACCACATGTTCATACTTACGTTCCGAATTGAGAAACTCTGCTATTGATAGACAACTATTATCTTTCATTTTATCATCTTTGTATTCCTTCAACGTTTTATTGTAAATGTGTGGGCACTTTTCCACTAATTGAATCAATAATTCGTCATTCATAATGAAATCGTAGCGTTAGCGTTACTACTCCAAAGACCAAAATAAACAAAACACAAAACTCAATTTTTAGGTTAATACTGTAATGCGCATGTCCTGGTTCTGAGCATTCTGATTGGCTCCGAGAAGGCGACGGAACGGGAAAGTTGAATCTTGGCCAACTCTTCCGTTTTCGTTCCCGTTACCGTTGCCGTTTCCGTTTGTTGTGCATGTATGTATTGGATAATATGTAATTGAACTTTTCTCTCGTTTCCGTTTCCGTTCTCGTTCCCGTTCCCGGGCAATTGTGCAGCAGCCTTAAGGATTTCAACTATTGAAAACGTGCAAATTCTGGTTGTATTTTTCAAATTTCAAATAAAATGACATGGCTAAAACTGTTTTAGCCTTCATGCTATCTTCAGCATTTGGAAACATAACAGAAATTATTAAATTACTACCAGTTTCAAATCTAACAGGTGATGAAATGACACCTTTGGTTGAACATGTGATAAATTTAGTTCAAAAATGTGGATTTGAAGTTATTTGTGTTGTTACTGATAATCACCGAATTAATAGAGCAATGTTCAGGAAATTAGCAAAGGATTCATCAGAAAATTATTCTATTCCAAATCCACATAATCCTGATAAGAACATATATTTAACTTATGATGTTGTGCATATTTTCAAGAGTATCAGAAATAATTGGATTAATTTAAAAAACCTAGACAAAACTTTTGTATATCCTAATTTTGACAATAATGATATTATTCAGTATGCTAAATTTGAAAACATTCGTGCTGTATATCAATTGGAAAAAGAAGCTGTAGTTAAGAAAGCATATAAATTAAATTATAAAACATTGCATCCAAATTCATTTGAAAGGCAAAATGTAAATTTTGTAGATAATTTATTCCACCACTCAACAATAGCTGATATGAAAGAATTAAAGTTTAATGATGCTGCACACTTTTTGGAAATAATCAGGAATTGGTGGGATATTGTCAGTAATACAAATGTAATAAAAGGAGAATTGAAGCGAAACGAATTTTGTAAGCCTATTACCAATAAATATGATTATAGAGTACGATTTTTAAAAAAATTCCTGATATGGTTAGAAAAATGGCATAATCTAGAGAATAATAATGGACACCTGACACCAGAAACGTATACAGCTCTATATCAAAGCACGCTGACTCTACTTAATATAATTGAATATTCATTTAATCAATTTGACATTGAGTATGTATTGCCTGGAAAATTCACCACTCATAATTTAGAAAAACGATTTGGCAATTATAGACTTTTATGTGGCTGCAATTACAATGTGTCATATGATGAAATTTTAAATGCTGAAAAGAAAATACGGCTGAAGCATATTTTCAATGAAAAGAAATCGTCATTTTCTTTAGCAGAAATTAAAACAAGGTTCCAAAACTGCTTAGAACCTCAAGAAAATTTTGATTTCTTGGATACCAAACAAAATCCTGAAGTTTTGGATATATTCAATGAAGTATTTGAGACAAATTACGTAGCCAATTGTGACATAGAGGATAGTACTAAGACTTATATATCTGGATATGCTTCACACGCTATCTTTAAAAACCTAAACTGCGAGATATGCAAATCGCTAATAGTTAAAGAAAAAGGTTCATTAACAACAAATGTTTATTTTGATCATTTGCAAAGAGGAGGACTGTCAATTCCAACCAGTTATGTACCAATCATATTCTACCATATGTATGCCATTTTTGAATCTATTATTAATGTAGATAGATTGGAAATTTTCTTCTTGAAAAGCAATAATCAAAAATTTATTTTGTGTCAGTTAACCTTGCTCAGCATTCAGTCTGACTTTATATACAGTGAATTTTCTTTAACTTGCATCTGTGGCCGCAATTATGCAGATATTTTATCTAAGCTTTTGTCTATTTTTTCAAACATAATTTTGAATGATTATGTAAAATTGAAAAATAACAGTAAAACTGAAAGTAAATGTATTAAAAACAAACAGGTAACTCCACATTTCCAAGCTGGGCCTGTTGGAACACAGTGTGCTGACACCAGAAAACGTAACCTAAATACTTTTAATTAGGTTAACTGCATTAGCGACTCATATATATCACGATTATTTCGTATTTTTAAATTTTTTAGAGCTATTTCATATTCAGATGATTTGTATCGAATCGAACTGTCCTCTTTTCCAAAATTAAATTCAGTTCTTGAACGTTACACGGAGACGGAGCACACAGCCGCTGGCGGCCGACGTTCACAGGTAGCACTACCATGCCGTCCGAGCGCGGTGTTGCCTTTCTCTCATCACGGCTCGTAGTTGACGTCGGCTGTGTTATCACGTATAACGATGTACAGATCACGTGTTCACGCTGTTGCCACTTCTGCAAGATACCGACCGAGACATGCATCGCTGGGTAGAGAACAATAAGAGAGTTTCTAACTACACTATTGAGGATTTTTACCCCACGGTGACCTTTACCCCCACCCAGCCTACATATACAACTTCACCATAACCTAAGTTTCCTGTCATCTTTTTAGATTAAATGCCATAACCATTATTTTACTTCTCTAAGACAAGCAACACATTCGTTGTAAAGCTTTTATCAACTTTTCATAGATGTGCTATAAATTCGGCGCCCATATTTCATATCGGAAGATTTTCCAAATTGCGTATAACACCTGCGGATAACACCTACAGCTGCCATAGGCAGCAGCGGTGGCTGGTGACTCTTCGGTCTCCTGATCAGTCGCCGTGCGCTGTGCGGTTCGAATCCCGTCCCAGGAGAAATTTTTCTCTTGGCTATGGACTTTGTGATTGTCCGTAGGTGGTAGACGGTCTCTGACTGTCGAACGCGGAGGGTACCACCCGGCGGATCTCGTAGACGGGGCCAGAATGTGTGCATGTTGCATGCACACTTGTTCCCTCGCCAGAGTCCGTGTGGCGTTCCCCCTTTCCACTGTATCCCCCTATAGCCCCACGGTACCCCATGGGTGTTTAGGCCTTAGGCCTTCGTGGTAGTTGGAGTATAAAAAAAGCGGGTGCAAGAGTATTTACACTTTTGTTGTATAACTGTTACCTGCAGCCCTTATACAACATCTCAAGTGACTGAAGTGACCTGTTAGGTCCACTTGTATATATATATATTCTAAGAAAGCTTTGCCAATGCTCTTGCAACCTACAATCCGGTGTGAAGAATACTGTATAAACGCTCTTGCAACCCTAACAGGATTGTTAATTGTTAGTTGGGATGTATCAGCGATGGCACAGCAGGTGGCAGATGTTATCTCTTCAAGGTGGTTGGCTCCCGATCGGAATCCCTTGACTAACTATTTGATCAATATTATCAACATATTTTTTATTGTGGTACAATCATTTCCAATATTATTTCCAAAGTAAACTTTTGAAGTTCATTATGTATTGGATAGCTTTGGCAAATATGACATTAATCAACATCAATAAAGAACGACTCATCATTTTTAATTATGGATTTAGGTTGATTATTTTCTCAGGCGCCTTGGAATTCGGAACGTATATTTAAGTGAAGGGTAAACGACAAGGCTGCGTATTTATCGACGCTTGATTAATGTATGCTCTTTTCTGACAGGCTGACGAACCAAAGTCGGAAATACTTCAAACTACACCATCGCATCCGAAGATATTAGACGATGTTTCTTTGACGGACAGCAAAAGCAGTAAGAAACGCCGTAAAAGGGTCAGAAGAAAGAACACTCCAAAGAAGTCGAACAGTGTAAATCAGCTTTTAGCTCAAGCTGGTGAAAATACAGAGACGAATGATACTATTACTGATAAAAGTTCAATGGATAGCAATAGTTCCGATCAGGAAGTTAAAGAATTTCAGTAAGTATTTGCACAAATTTGTTTTTAAAGATAGCCTTATTACTTATTATTTTTACATCAAGCGCGCAAAGTGCAGTATGTCTAGAACAGCGCAAGTAATTTGTTTTTGAATTGCCCATAAGATTTTTCACAACCACCTCAGTTTACTAGAATTCAAGAATTTTTTATACATCGATTTATCTTGCCGTGAACAATAAGTGATAAAATGGTCAAGTTTTTCTGTTAAGTTTTTGTGTATTGTTTGGTGATAAAGAAACATTCAGTTTTCGTACATTTACGGTATCAGTTAAATGTTAAGGCTGGTTTTAGTGTCAAGCTGACGTCAGCGCTGACAGCTCAGCGCGTGGTTTGTCAGTGCCGAGGGTCAGCGCGAAACGTTTTAGTATCGTGCTGATCGCCACGGAATACAGTCGCAGACGCAAAATGCGGAGAGCAATAATCATTGCTGCTTTGTACTGGATGACTCGACTTGTGTCTACATTGGGACTGTACCTGTACACGCTGACAGCGTCCACACCGTTCGACACTAGAACGCTCAATGAAGGCAAAGGCGCGCGAGCGATGGTCAGCGCTGATAGCTACGCTTCCTAGACTTTCGCATATTTCGCTTGTCGGCGCTGACGGTCAGCGTGACTCTAAAACCAGCCTAAATTTCATGTAGCTATTGAGAAGCCTTTTTGTGATTGCTCAAAATGTCTAGAGCGCGTAGAATTCGCCGGGTATTCCAGCTAAGTGACTTTGGGAGGGGTCGAATTGTCGGGTTGCGAGAAGCCGGTCTATCGATAAAAGAAATTTCTAGGAGGACCAACATATCCATACTGCAGTGTCAACCAGCGTGGACTCAGGAAGTCCGAGGACAGCGAGTGAGGGGTTCTGTACGTCCCAGAGGGACCACAAGCGACAAGACCCCCCAGTTAAGACTTGTGGCTCTGAGAGACAGATTCAGTAGTACTCGACCCATCGCTAATCAGTGGTTTGAAGAGCATGGAATGATGGTTGGTATGCGTACGGTATATCGCCGAATGCAACAGTTTGACCTTTTTTCTTATCGCCCACATTGGGTGCTACCTCTCACAGCTGAACATCGGCGTAACCGTTTGTTCTGGTTTAGAGAAAACATTCTATGGGACGGGGAATGGAATCAGGTGGTCTTTAGTGACGAATCCCGCTTCTGTCTGGGGATGCACCATGGTCGGGCAAGAGTGAGAAGGCGACCCACCACACAGGGGGAGTTATAGTATGGGGTGCTATTGCTTATGGTAGCAGATCACCATCAGAGCATAGTTAGCCTTCATGGATCAACCTCGCATCAACCGTTTACCTTGGCCACCACGATCGCCTGACCTATCTGCAATTGAACATGTCTGGGCCATGGTAGGTAGCAGGCTCTTGCATTTACAATACCCTCCACAGACTTTAGCAGCTCTTACTCAGGAAGTTGCAGTAGCCTGGAATGAGATACCCCAAGAGGATATCGACCACCTTATCAGCACGATGCCCAGGCATGTCAATGAGTGTATAAGAAATCGTGGATCCTCAACTCATTAGTGAACCAGCTTCTGCAGTCAGTTGACGAATCAAGCTGAAAATTTAATCGTATTATACTAGGAAGGGACACTGAACATATATGCCAAAAATTATTAAAATCGGATAAACATACGTAGATGTTTACCTTTTTGTCACTCATTATATACAGTGTTTTTCTTTAATGTCCCCCTCCGCTTTGATTTTTTGAACGGATCAGTTCAAAAAATTAAAACTTGAGGTAATGGAATTGATGCGTGGATACCATCTTGGAAAAACAAATATATGAAAACGGGGGTCTTGTGGCACATCATTTTGAAGCTCCTGAGGAGTACTTTATAACCCTAGAATATAAAGTCACTTTTACCTACTACAAAATGGTGGTACATTTAATAATTACCTGATTACATTGACATTTAACTTGATAATTCGAATAAATACGTTGAGTTCAGTTTAGAAGATGCTGGAAATGATTGCCTTGAACTTCTTGACACAATAACAGCCGGTCCGTAATTTCGCGTCGAACATTTTCAAACATAGTAACATCGATATTTCTACAAATATTTGTTATTCTCAGCCGTATATCCATTATTGAAGCAGGTTCAGTTTCGTACACCTTTTGCTTTAAATAGCCCCATAAAAAAGTCTAAGGGTGGATTTCACCAAGGTTGTCAAATCAACAGTCCGTTATTTGTCCACCTATAGGGTAACACTCCGTCAAATACAACGAATGAGCTTCAAGTTCCAAACAACAAATTTTAGCAACCAATAGCTATGAAATGTTGAAAACAATATACTGTCAAAGTATGAGATGACAGCTTGTCATTGAAACATCACCAGCTTATTGAATATTAAGAAATTACATATAATTCAGTCAACATTTAAAGAAATGTCTGATTTTTGAATTAAATTCATGTTTTAATTACTATTGTTGATTTTTTATTCATGTTTATATTATTTTCTTCAATTGATATGCGATTTTACTGATTCAACATCACCTGGGTATTTTTCCTATAAACCTCTTGCAGATAGCCATTAAGCACCTACTTGATGACAGGCTCTACCAAAAAGTTCATAGATATTGCTGGTTTCAAAACATTCATTCATTTACTTGCCTTTCATCAGAATCATTATGGCACCTTAGATTGATATTCCCACAAAACCATTCAGGTTTTTTGATATCCATACATCCATAAAGTTGAATATTTTTCGTTGTTCAGGAACTGAACAAACATACACGCTATATTCACAGCGATTAAGAAATTCCCAAATATATGTGTTGAAGCTACCAGAAAACCTAAAACCTGCAAAAAACTACAAATTTGCCATATTTTTCTTTTTTCTCGAGTACACATTCTAGGTTATATTTATATTAGACATTATTTGAATACAGCTGATTATTGCATTTCAAAACTCCCCGAATGACACATGTGTGGGATCTGTCAATCATTGGTCCCAGTCACAAAATATATACTCTGAAGAAGGTTTAATTCCATACTATTCATTGACAACACGGTGATTTGTGTGGTTGTCAGCGGCCATTTTTGAGGGTGCGACATGGTTGCCAGATTGTGCATTAATATCCCGTTTCACCCCCCTGGTCCCAGTGGAGTAAGCTCCGCCAACTGTTGAAATATACTCTACTATGCTTTATAAGACTATTCGTGGAATTTTTCCCAAAATCGTTGCACAAACTTCAAAAAATGCAAATGAAAATTCAAAATTATTTCCATGACGCGCAAAATAGCTCCGTCGGTACCTCGGGTCATACATCTTGACAGTAGGGCTGTTCCATACGATCCTATATTTAGAAGTATCAATACATTTCACGAGTATCGTCATCTTTCGATCCGGACTGTGTCAGAAAGAGTGACTGAAGTTTACTTTTCTTCTTTGTTTCCTTCCGCTGGATATCGATAATTTTATTCCAATATTTTAGAGTATCGATACTTCCTAAAACGATAAGAATCGATCCATAACGATACTTTTCGTGGACTAAACATCCCTAATCTTGACAGCTTGGCGTTCTTGTCAACTGGGCTGCAGGGTGCGGTGTTGCCTTTACTATCTTACATTTTGCTAAACTCTTATGACAAATAAAGGCTTCAAATGAAATATTGACGAATATGAACGTATATGCAAAGAATTTAGAATATAAAATCATATTGCAAATTTCAGATTGGACTTGAACCGGATTTTTCGGTATTTTTACCGAAAAGAGAATATTTACCGATAACATAATTCTCCACGATTTTTCAAAATAATTTACATATTTCTATACTTGCCGAAAAAGAGCTGAAACCAAAAATAAAGCTAAACGTTAATTTTATGTAGTCTTCATAGTTTTATGACCCATATCAATCATACATATGCTTACACACTCATGCTGTCGGGTACATGAGAGGGGTAGATTTGGGATGCCTATGATTACGAACGCACATCCTCATCCCTTACCCCACTTGCCCTGACTTGATTTTTGTGCATACAAAAGGTACAGACTGGTAGATTACCGCCATTACCTCATCACCGGACAAGCAATAAACAAACCGAAACCTGCCTGTTTTCAAAATAAATATTGAATCAAAATTAGAGGTGAGTTCATGAGTTTAAGGGTTAAAACAGAAAAATATATACAATACTATCAGCATATACAGACAAAACTAGACTGCCATGCATGAACAGTCGTCACAAACAGTGAAAACATCCTACCAAATATAATAGCTAGAAAATCGACCTATTATTTGCCGCATTCCCATTGGTCCCACTTAAATAACTGACCGTCTTTTGTGAAACTGATATTCAGAGACCTTTGACAGCTTCTGTCAAATTGCATTTCGATAAGCTATTTTTCCATTGGTTCAAGGGACCGTCAAATATTAATGTTGGTGAAATTGGGCCTAAAGGTGTCAAATCTGACGAGCGAGCTGGCCATTCCACAGGACCTCGACGGCCAATCTAACGACCGGGGAAATTGTTATCTAACTAATTCCTAACTTGTCTGTGGTAGTCTTGCTGGAATACAATATCAGTATCGAATTCATTAGGATTCACTTCGACGATTTCGGTGATTAGAGGGTCAATAGTATTTTCCAGCATATCCAAATATAGTTCCCCGGTTAAAGTTTGTTCGATGAATAGAGGCCCCACAATATGATTTCCCAATATCCCAGCCCAAACGTTAATTTTTTGTGGATATTGAGTATGAATTTCCCGGAAGACGTGAGGATTGGTGTCACTCCAATAACAACAATTTTGTACGGGTGATACTTTTTTTTTAATAGTCTACGTACAGTAGAAGGACAAACCTCACATACATTCGCGATGGAGGCAGTAGACTGTTGGGGATTTACTATGATCTCACCAATTATTTGAACTTGCTTTTCTTCCAGGATGGTCGGATGACTTGGGGACTTTTTGTTGTTTACACTACCAGTAGCTGTAAATTTAGATACAAGTTCCCTTAAATATTTTCTATAGATAGGACGATTCGGGAAACGATCATTAAAAGTACTTTCGGTCTCATGAAAGTTACACGTCGCACCATAAATAAAAATCGCTTCAATTTCATCTTCCAATGGACAAGAATTTTAAAAATAGTTTAAACAGTATCGCTGTGGCTGTGGATACGGCAGGGAATTACAATTATGTGTAGAGATATGCATGTTAGTGGGTTTATGTTCGAGTAACTATTAAATGTACCACCATTTTGTGGTAGGTAAAGGTATTGACTTTATATTCTAGGGTTATGAAGTACTCGTTAGGAAAACAAGGCCCTCGTTTTCATATAATATTTTTTCCAAGATGGCGCCCAGCGGCCATCTCAACATTTTCATCTGTCAATTTTACTCTAAAATATGGTATCCACGCATCAGTTTCATTACCTCAAGTTTTAATTTTTTGAATTGATCCGTTCAAAAAATCAAAGGGTGGGGTACATTAAAGAAAAGCACTATATAACTAGTGATGCAAGGTTTTTCGTTCTCCGCGCGACGTACCGATTTGCACCTAATCTGGACATTATATATCCCGATGAATTAACATTAAAACAAATCATTACAAAAAATTAATTAATCACGCAATCCACCACTATGTCGAGTGCTTTGCTTTGTTCTCTAGCTCAGACGCAAACGTTCCGCGATGTGTTTCATTTACAAACAGCCCCTATCATTATTTTTAAATATATGTGATATAAAACATCGTACTTTTTAGTATCAGTGATTTAAAGGGTGACGTGATCGCGACTCTCGATGAGGATATGGGTATTGTGATAGTCTGAGCAAAATAAATAACACATAAACTATATTAGTTGTGCAACCTAATAAATTAACTCTTAATTTTAAAAAACCTTGTTTCTTGTTGTCCCGATTTACATCCCGATTTGTTCTGCGTCGATTCGGAACAAATTGGGCCTGACAACATATCTCCTCCTCGGTGACGAACATCTTTGTGATCATAAATCTTGTGACCACCACCACTGCATTCCCCTGTAGCTTCTTAAATCCCCCACTGTGACTAAGTAGTCTGTGATACTTATCATCACAAATTGACATCGATGTAAGACGGATTTTTCTTTGTGCTAAATACATATTACTGAACAATGCAAAATAATGTGTTATTTTTTTTTTAGTTTTCAACCATATTTTCCGATAATTCATTAAATCGCAAATACGTCAAAATCGGTGCACTTTTGACTAATACTATTGTATAGAAATAGCACCGAGCAAGCATTACAATTACTTACACTCCATATGATGTTTCGGCTTTGTAATAGTTGTGGTTAAATACTGTATAAAATATATTCTGGAATAATTCAATTTATCAAATAATTCAATCTCATTTTCCCGTTGGTTCCGGCACACAGCAGCGAAACGTTGATAACTCGGAATACTTTTAAAAATTTGCAGTATAATAGTAAACATTTTTCTTACCAGGAAAGAAATCAAGGAAGACCAAAGACAAATGGTGGATACTGCGAACATCAAAAAGATTGACGCAGATTTTCATTTCTTCAGCGATACGGAACTCACCAATAACGGGAACAATGATTCAAGGACGGGCTCTCCAGTGAACGTAGAAAGTGTACAGTCAGATTCGGAGTTCGAAGTTAAAGTTAGAAAAGGTAAGTTAGTCTTACAAACCCTTCAGTCGAATAATAGAACTAACAATGTGTTTATTAAAGGAGGGCTGGTAAATGTACATGGTTTCATTCATATGTTCTGAAATGAAATGTCTTCCAGAGTTTCAAAATTATTAAGACCTTTGTAGTAATATCACATAAGGTTGAAGCTCCATGCATTCTTCCATTCTTCGTTTCATCGCTTTGATTTCCAAGAGTACAGAGATGATAGGCAAATAATCATGGTTTTTGGTCGCTAGGCTAGTAGCAATAAATCGTATAGCGTTTAAAATATCTTTTGATGCAGAATAAGAAAGGCTATTGCAATTTTTCAAACTCCTTGTCCGATCGGAGGATCGTTTTCTCGAAAGTCAGTGGTTTTTAGGATGTTTATATCGCTGCCATTGAAGTTATCACATTTAAGGCATTTATTTCTACGTCATGTGGTGGTATCGATATTTCTGTTTGCTACCCGGTCAGACTAAGAGCCTTCGCTCACTACGTCGTATCGTAATCGTATCGTAATACCCGCGTAGGACGAGAGCAAAACGAGCTCGTATGTGTGCTAACGAGTCCTTACACGAAGCGGTGCTGCAGCGAAGCGTATGAGATGTTCAGTCATATTACGATAGTCGTAGCGGTCTGGCGTAAGGCAGGCGTAGAAGCTAGTGTAACATTCAAGTTTTGTTTAATTGCTTTCGATATGGCTGAGGTCATCAATGGATACACCAGAAACATGTGGTACCGTTGCCGCCATGATTTCAACTGATATGTTACAAAACGATACGAGTAGGTGACGATGCGTATGTGGAACACTGCAGGTCTCGTAAGTGTTGCGTCGTAACGATATGCTTACGAAACGACTACGCGTACGATGGGAGTGCGAAGGCCCTAAAAATTAATAGTGCCCGCTGTAAAGTCTAAATTAGTTGAGTCGTCATACGCAGCACAAGTCATTCACAAAATTTCTTCAAAATCAAGCCGGTATTTTCGAGATATTTAATGAAAATCGACGTTTTTCGATCTTACTTTATCGGAAGCTTTTTCTCAAAACTAATCAAAAAATCACCCACCATAATTATTTTAATGACCTCAAACATACTGTACGTTGGATAGGAGCGGGGGTAAAAAACAATTGAACTGAACAAAGTACCTAATAAAGTTTGGATTATTGATCTCACTTATTTTTCCATACAATATCCTTCTAACAAAATGCGAAATATTTGTTCTGAATACACAACTTCACTAACCACACCCTCAAATACCTGTGCAGTATTGGGCTAAAAACACCCAAAAACTAATATCTTGTACAGATTATGTCTTGAAACCACGAATTCGAGCTTCGACTTTAACAAATCTTTTCCATTTTACATGTCCTTCGGTATATTGCTTATTATTTTTTAAAGTTTCTATTCTTTTCTATTCGCAGAAGATCAGATGGAAGGCGGTAAAAGCTGGGAGTGGGGACGTTTTCCTAATGTTTCTCAGTTCCCATCTCATACCAGTGAAAACCCTAGACAAGAAGAAAGAAAGTCTATGCTAAGCGGAATGTTTTCTTTCATGAAACAGGTAATTTATACTCTAACTGAAATATATTTTATTGAAGGATATATTTATAGTACTTGCTGAATGTATCTGGCAAAAGTGAGTAAGGTTATGTAGGATTCCAAAGTAAAAGTGTTATACACTTTCTGAAAGTCCGTGACTTGCACAAGCATTAAGCTGAATATCTGAACATCTAGTGTCATCTTTGTATTAAAGTCTGGTGAAACTTGGGACTATATTTAGAACTATTTAAACCAAACACTGATGAAGATTTTTATATACCTGAGGTGAAATATAGTCATGATCCAGCTATTTTGTTTTTTCTTTTTGCGTCGAAACTTTTCTAACTGAGCTTTGTTAGAAAGTATGGATCCGTAACGTACAAAAACGACAACAAAATGCGGCCCTGTCTATAGATCTGGCCTTGACAGGTCCATCGCGTGTGTGTCAATTGTCGATATGGGGTATTTTAAATGTCTTCTGATACCCGGCTGTTATTTGTTCTCATGTTTTGACATAATGAAGTTTCGTGGATTAGTACATTTTTAAAATATACATAAAATCCGACTGCAACAACTGAAAAGAATGAAGTTTCAATAGTACTATCAAATGACAAAATATATCAAGTCGTTTGCCCGTGAAATAGAAATTACCATTTCGGTCAGACGGGGCACTGAACACTTCCGCGCAGAATGCGACTGACGTCAATGAGCTGTATCCCGTAAGTTATAATAAAATAGAAATTTCAAAGTTGAAAGTTGGGTTAGGATATCCTTATTTTGATTCTATACAGTTTTAATATATCCAACGTTACTCGCATTTCAAGACAAATCTGCATACTCCTCATATGCCAAAATCCGCCCGTCCGTTTAAGCTGTAGAGACCAAATAGAAATTTCGAAGTAGACGTTTCCGATTTTGAATTTATAAAATATTAATGCATCCAGTGCTGCTCGCACCGCTAAGATGAATCCAACAACAGCTCATAAGTCACAATTCAGCAGGCCCTTTTAGACTGTAGCCCATGAAACAGAATATTTTGTTTAGATGCATACATGCATACCCACGCCAAAAAACAATCTCTTTCTGAGCAGTCGGGTAAAAATCGATATCCCACTAGCCGCTAACGTCACTTATAGGGAAATGGTGTTTAAACCTCTGTAACTGTATGCTGCCAGCATAGTTTGTGGGCTGCAAGTTCATAGAGAACATTTATTTTAAACACTCAATTTAATGACATATGGCTTTTGGAACAACATGTAACTATTATAACCTGAATCCTTGTTTGGTTTAACTAACACTTTCATTTTAACATCTTATGAAACCTCACTTACTTTTCTTAGTCTGTCAGTTGCGTTTTCTTCGGTATTGAAGCATGGTACCAACACCAAAGAAGAGGTATACCAAGAGAGGACACTGCATGGAACGTTTGTCGGTCGCTTTCATTGGTCTTGTTACTGTTATATTTATAATACGCTTAATGCAGTAACAACGTTGTGTTATCGTTACATTTGCCCCACATTCCTTTTTCCAAAATATGTTGCACACTATTATAAAATATTTGACTCACCATGCATTTTAATGATGTCATGTGCTGAACATACAGATCTATACAGATCTAATTACTAATAAAGTTTATGAGAATACTTTTGACTATGATATCCACCGGTAGACATGAAAAAATCAGAATGTTGGTCCCTTTTGCGCTTGCTCTGAGCAGTATACATACACAAATATTTTCATCATACACCTTTCTCAATGAACGAAAAATATACTTGGTAGACTACTAATGGTTGATCAGTATTCCCCTTCAAATAAATGCTAGCCTGAACAAAACTCAATTTGAGCAAAAGATTGACAACAAAATTGATTCAATTAGAATTATCTCTCTGGCAACACCGCATGTATCTCTCGGCAAATAACAACACGTTGTTGACGTCATTTTGGCCTTTTAAATTGAAGTGGCCAGTCTATTTATGTGTAATTTTATGCGCTTCGCCCGTCTTCTCTCCTGATATACTAACTGTTTGCGTTTTCTTGCTCTTCTTATTTTGGTGTTTGTTACATTTGTTTAAGTAAGACTACTTTGCCACTACATATTGGCTTAACTTGTGGAAAATCATGCTCTGTTTTCAGATAATTTAAATGAACAATTCATACTTCACAAGTTTTTTATTTTCGATTATTTGCTAGAGATTTATTTCATTAAATTTAAATTTTGTTAACAGAAACATGGGTCTGGACAATCTAATTTGGAAGATGGCGTATATCTTTCTGATATATTGTCAGGAGGTATTGATCAAGAAGTAGCAGAGATATATTTCAATAAAACCAAACAAAAAAGAGGTAAGGGAAATATATAACAAAAATAATGCTATCGGTTTAAGCTCTTATCTACTACCGGGCAGTAAGGTGAGCTTTACGGGTAGATTTTCCGGGTTTTGAGCTTTCTTTTTATCCCATGGGTTTATTTACGCATAGGGCACGCATTGACATATGCTAGTCGACTTGGAGAACTGGTCGTATTTATTTGTTGCCAGACATGTCCTCCGAAGTTTTGTCTTATCCTATAGCCGGTCGTTGATAAAATATATCGGGATTTCTCGGAACTTCGCATCTTGTGCTAGGTTCATAAAACAACTTCTGTTGTCTGTTAGGCTGAACATATTTTTTAAACGTATGGATTTGTCATTATCTCACAATTTATTGTTTTATTGCAGTTTTTGTAATCCTTGGAAAGCCTATCTATCATTATATTTATTTGGATTAGCTTTTTGTTTTTCGTTTTTTTGTTGTAACTGAATTTTGTTACCGATCTGTACAGACGTGGATTGTGAATCAGGAAATGGACCTTCGCTGACCCAGAGCCCAAACAGCCCCGAGGGTTGCAAGAGTATTGATTCGGATTTTGAAGAACAACTCAAATTGTAAGTATAAGTAATAGTATGGTACAGTTGCAGTACAGTGAAACCTGGTTAAGTGGGCCCTGGATATGTGAGAAACATTTTACTACTGACACCTTTGCATTATATAACTACTGGGAATTTTCGATTTTTTTAATTGAGATTTCTCTTCGCAGGATAATCTATCCCCTATGAAACATTTTATCAGGCTCAGACATGCTATGACACGTTGGTTTATAAACATTAGAATTTCGCCGTACTTTATTTGTACTCTACTGATTTCTCTTAGTGTGATAATACAATTACCATTTCAATCCTGCCTTTTTGGGAAACTGGGTAGATGAGAGGCGTCTAGGTGAATAAAGATTTTGTGTTCCTTTGATACCCAATTATACAGCTTTCACTGTATTACTTTTGGAAGTTATACCAAGTAGCAGGTATAGCAAGAGAATAAAGACAAGGGAAATAAAATTAGAGAAGAGAGATTTATATAGACTGGCCAAGCCAATTTAAAGGGACAAAATGACATTTAACCTCGAGAGATGAATGCGATGTTGACAGATAATTCTTTTTTGGATGAATTTATTGTCTATCACTTGTAGCGTTAGTTGAAGCGTTTTTTGTCCAAATTTAGTTTTGTTTAGACTTGCGTTTATTCATGGCGGCGATTATTTATCATCCATTTGCAGTGTACCAAATTTATTTTTCATTCATTCGTCAATGTGAATATATTTATTTATGAATTAATCAGAGCATACAAAAAGAAGTGACCAATAATACGAATACAGATAAGACAAATACTATGAAAGCTACTATGGCATCATAATCTGTTAATACTGAACGGGGTCGTGGCAAAACACCATCTATGAACGCTGAGTTATCAGCACGTCAATCAACTGGCTATGATAGTGGAAACGAAACAGCTCCAGTAAACACCATCCCTACACAGAAAATTTCAGTAGCAGTTTATGCGTTTATGTAGAAAATATATAAATATGAATCAGGAAGCAAAAACTCCAGTAAGCAACCCGGTTCTGGTTGATGCTGTTAAGAAACCGATGCAACCAAGGAACTCACAGACAAAAAACCAGCAGAATGGAATCTACATCTCCTTCTGTCTCTCAGGGTATAGTCATTAGCAGCAAATTTGACTTTAAGTTGTTAGATTAAGGCAGCTACATTAGTTCCTAGGTCTTCGGTATATGGTGGTAGGTTAGAAACCACAATGGAGGAGGATCTGTCAGAGTACTTCAGGAAGCATTTTAATGGTATTTCCGACTTCTCAGATAATAAGTTTAAGGTGAGGTCTGGAGCGTGCGCGAGTTTCAGAGTTGAGATACCAGTACCACATTGAGCCAGATATGGGTGCCAAATTTCAATTATCGAAAGAAGAGTATCGTGGAAGGAAGACTTAGTTTTGCACATAAAGGATAAACATTACAAAAGGAATGTAAAAGAATCAGCCCGTACAAAATTAAATAATTGTCTTTCTAGTACTATTATGGACTATGGCCTAATTTGGTTGAAGGAGATATCTGATATTGGTATTCTCCAACTAAAACAATTCAACTTCCACTCGTAAATATTTCAATTCGCCATCTGAAGGCCAAACTGTTCTGTCTTATATTATTTCCCCACAAGACAAACGATATGGTTCCTTTTGGATGTCGTAGTACTATTTCTGCATTTCAGATCCATAAACAAGTCCCACACAGCATTTGAGGCTGAAGATTGCATGACAATTCACCGGCGTGTTGAGACAATACTTGTGAATGGATTTTAGCATTTTTTGAGCACTTGGCATTTTCGGGACGATGGATGACGGTGATGTGTCTGGTACATTAAAAAAGACAGACAGGAATGGATAATCCTGCGATCATGGGGTTTGCTGGTTCTGCTCGTTTCAACGTCATTAACCAGTAATTCAAACGTACTTGGTTTCATTTAGCGGTCAGATAAACATGGAAAATTATCAGCATGAAAACCATATGATAAGTTCAAGGTGTTATATTATAAAAATGGAAATTTTAATTGCTAGTCATACTGCTATAATCATAAACCAATGTTGATGTCGATTTAGAAAATTAATTTCGGCAATCTTTATATCGTCAATGAGCGACATTTTACTGTTAATGTCACCATTTTCACGAGTACAACTTGGATTGCTTTTTGGCGCATTTGTGACGGATGATATCATGAAAAGTTACAGTATGACGGGATGCTACAAAATACATACAATCCTTCCAGAACTGTCATTTCATTTCAAGTCATGTCAACTGCTTGTCATAAAACTTCAGTCCGTCCATGAATATAGTTTAATTTGGTGTAACCTGTGTTAATATTACCTCGTTTTTTTGTTTTGTTTCAGACATTCCCTATCTCAAGATATTTCACTCTCAATGTGTGGCTGGGATCCACCACTACCAAACACAAATAGGTTTCTCGAACACGTAGTAAAATTCAGCGATCTATGCAACAACCCTTTTATGTTCGAAGATCCAAATTTGGTTGTTAGGATCAAGGATAAATACTATACATGGAAGGTGGCAGCTCCTATCATTGCAAGTATCGTCATTTATGGAAGACCTTTACTACAATCTTCAGTGGACCAGCTTTGCAATATCCATATGCCGGCATCCATTCATCAAAAAGATGCTCAACTCGCTAAAGATGGAACTAGCAAACAGCAACAAGAAGCTGCCAGAACTTCATGGTGGAGTTGGGGCCGGGGAAAAACTTCCAGAGAAACAACCCCTGCTCTTGATAAAGCTAATCAGGAACTAGGAAAAAGTGTGGAAGGTAAAGTTTCATTTGTTTTTGAGTTGCATTGACGCCCAAATATTATAAGTTGTCAGTTCTTAGAAATATTTATCACTAGAGATAATTTATTGACGTCCTCTAGATAAGCTTAACGTATAAGTAATGCTATCCTGCGCATGGACTGTTTTAAACGCAAAACACTACACAGTTCATAAAGATTGGTGCTTAAGTCATCAGGCAGCTGAGGAGCTGTATTGGGATGAACATTTGACAGTTTGTACTGATACTAACTGGTAGGGTGGCAGAAAATTCAGAGTATCTACGAGTAATTCTTGTCAGAAATGAGCTAATAGCCCATAATCATATGCATCTTTCAATCCTCCTTAACACCTTTTGAAAACTGTTTCAACTCATCTTAAATTCGAAAACCATGCATTTTCTCTGTGTCAGCACCCAACATTTCCGCATGAGTTCTCGTGAATACGCATTTTCTGAAACCTGTCTTTAGACTTGTTGGAATAGCCCCTTAGTTGTTAACGAAGATCATGATTTTGTAGGGAGAAAATTGGAGAAGGAAGATGCTGGTGCTAATGCAATGGCTGTGAAAGGAAGTGAGACACAAGGTGCTGTTAGAGATAAGAAAGAAGAGACTGTAACAATTCCTATAAGTGATGAGAATGATGGAAGCTTAGCCGCTTCGATATCTCCACCCAAATCGACGTCTGATAAGTATAGGAAAACGTTAAGACTGACATCTAAACAAATTGCTTCGTTGAATTTGAGGGATGGGATGAATGAACTAGAGTTTAGTGTAACTACTGCTTATCAAGGCACCACTAGATGTCAGTGTCAGCTATATAAGTGGAAATGGGATGATAAAATAGTCATTTCAGACATTGATGGAACAATTACCAAGTAAGTATTTCTAACTAACTCCATTTGGATTTTTTTGTTCCATAGTACCGGTAGGCTACTGAATTGCTGCAGCACGGATTGAACAAGTGTATTGATGTCAGTAGGGATTTTACCTGGTGTTTCAAATTCGACGCTCATCATTGAGATCTCGAAAACGGAAAGATATACGAAGTTGATTAAATGGGACAAAGTTGCTCATCGAGGTATAAGAATATGGCACTTAGAAACTTCTGCAATTCTGAGTATTTCTGGAGAAACCGAAAAAGTACATTTTACATTGTCACCTTTTCGGCTCTACAAGATGGCATTATTAGAATTTCAATATGACGTTACGTCTGTTGTCTTCAGTTAACAAATTTTTTTCTTATAGACACCATATTGTACTTTTGCACAGGTGAATAGATTTTTTAATTCTGATTCCAAAAATATGTCATACATTGACATTGCCAAACCTTAGTTATTTCAAAAAACACAATTTCATAAGTAGTCCTTGAAGTTATCAGATAGTCATTTGTTTCATAATATCCTCAGCCAAGCGATCATTCAGTTTTTATGAGCTAGGCATAGGTGAACAGCCTCATTTGGGATTTTAATGCAGTGACGAAGAGTCCATGTAACCATTGTTACCATTGGTAACAGTTAAAAATCTTAAAAATAAATATTTTATGACTAATGGTGGGTTCATGCAAGACTTAACGTAACTTAACTTAAGAAAATGAGCATTTAAAGCGCATGCGCGGCCAGGATTGCCAATGTAGCAATGGCGACAATATCAACATTAAACACACTAACAAAATCATATGTTTAACGTCAAGGTAGCAGATGAAAGAGTGTTTTGTGGCTTTTGTGTCACGTGGACTGGCGGACCAGCCTTGACATTGACAAGTGGCCCCTTCCCACACGCTTGCGCCAATGCACTGGTAATTAGTCACAGAACTCGGATAATAGTCCAGATAATATCGGAACATCTGCTCGGAAAACTCTTCGGTTTCCTATTTTTGCATAATCTGATTCAAAGACCTCTTAAAGAATCTGCATGTGACTAGGCCCAAAATTGCTCCAAAAATTGTTATTAAACCGATTCCAAAAATTGATTTGTTCGCTTTGTTTAAAGTATTTTGCGGTTTTTAGGACATTCTGAATAAAAAATGAGCTTTAGAACTTTTCTCTAGACTTGATATATACAGGTATAAGCAATGTAAAAACTCAAAATATGTCATTTACTACCCTAAAAACAATATGAAAAATGAATATTTTGATGTTGCCAAATCTCACACATGCTTCAACCAACCAATAACAAAACCCCCAGAGCATTTTAGGGAGTACAGACATTATAAATATTTGCATAGTAATTATGAATTGAATGCGCGCTTGATGTATAGTCTACGTCTATGTGAACGCGCGAGAGAAATGAAATATCTCTCGTGCACGCTGAATATGCATTGAGCGTCCGCTTGCATATCAATTAAACACAAAGATTTATAATAACAGTATCTCCTAAAAGGTATCGAAATTCTGTTAATGGTTATTTATGAAGCATGGCGACATTAACATTTTCGTTTTTTTCAGATCGGTTAACGGTATCCCAAAATCAATTTTTTGTACTTTCCCATCTTGTAGAAAATCAACTTTTGACAAACATTGTCAAACATCGTTTTGTTTCGGAGTATCAAAAAAAAAACGAATACTACCTTTGATGAAGCGAAAACATTAATTTTTGTAATTTATTTGAAAAAGTTGTTCAAACAATTAGAGACGCAATTTGGAGCCTGACAACATGTAGATTTGTTACTAGGAGGCTTTTTCGAATAACATGCAAAAAGTCCGAATCCGAATATTTTCCTGAGCAGATGTGAAGATATTTCTTAGACTATAACGACGGCAGCGCTACCTTACTTGGCTGGAAATCTGGTGGAACTAAAAATATTGAAAGTATGCCAACAACGCATATCAGGAATGTCAGGAATGTGTCGGCGATTTCATTTGTTTTTACGAAATCTGACTGATGACCTTCCCGATATTGAGGCAGTTCGATGATCATAGATGCATAACACATCCTCAATAAAGGGAGTATTTCTTTCATCAGTATGACAGGATAATAAAAAAATTTATAATTAAAAAAATATTTATTGAACAGTCCCAGCAATAATAGAACAAATTCTTCATTACCATATATTGTACATACATAGAAGTATTCTACTCATCTGGATTTTTCTCTATATTATGAACCTGATCAGTGCAATATCATGCAAGCACTATCTCTTGTTAATTGATCATATATATTTATTGCGAAAATATAAATACTAAAATAACAAAAAATACATCTGTTGTTAGAGGACTGACTGGAATACAAATATAATCACTCTGATATGTGAATCAAAAATAGTTTTGCACACACTGTTAATGGGTAAAGGCAAACAAAATTGTCCTCAACAAAAAAAAAAACACATAAAACACTAATTGTTTCTTCAAACTAGGAAACAAACTCCTTATGTCATTGACAATTAATTTGGTATCCATAAAATAAATGACAATCTTCATTCCAACTGTCTCCTCGAAGGATGTTGACACTGTGAAACAAAAAAAAAATTATTAGCATATCACTGTCATATTTGGTCAGCAAACACTAAACAGAAACATAGTCATCTCACCACGCCGCTTCAGATGATACTGCTCTGTACATATGTATAAATTCCCAATCTAGCAGTATACATTTGATTGCCAAAATTCTGTGTTTAAACAAATTTTCATTGGTGATACCAAATGCCAGTCCTTAATTTGGCCCTTTACCAGATTTGTTATTACCAACAGTACAGATGTCACGAAAAAAGTTACCTGCTACTCATCTGTTTACCTCAACACAGCATTCGCCAGGTGTACACCTGGTTTGTAGTTAATGACAAAGTACCTTCACAGTGTTCTGTGAGGTTTTGGAAAAACATGTCATGGGGGGCATGGTATAGATTTAAATTCTCTTTTTTCTTCTGTAGGGGCTATAATTTGCCGACATCACCACTGGTACAGTCTCAGACATGAACGTGTTTGCATCTATCAGCTATGAAGTCAGCACTACAAGCACAAAATTTTAAGATCATTTCCATTTTTTTTTTCGTTCTCTAGAATATAATTTCAAAATCCTCTATCTTGGTAAGGGGTAATTTAGGACCCATGTTTATTTTTTTCATGCTGTTTTTTGATCTACTTTATTCTGTAGCAATAATGATATGTTTTGCTGAAACTACCACTATACGCACGTTGTTAGGGGATGAAGTAAACATGACCACTGACTTTAATTATTATAATTTTTAACATACATCTCTGATTTTTTTTATCAATCCGCCCCGATGTTCAGCTCTAAACTGTCATGCGTAAGCAATAGTGGGCAAAAAGTATCTATCCGATACAAAAGATCCGATACTTTCCGAAGTCAGAAGTATCCGATACTTTTTGATAGATGTATCGAATACTGTAATAAATACTGACAATCTGACTATTTATACATACTGTAGTGTAGACAGAGAGTGACAGAAAAATAATGTACGGTTATGGCCAAATAATTGTCAACAGCTGTGGATGTCCAAGTATCTGTTGTAATCGACAAATACTCCGAATTTTTTAGTAAATCTTTACTTTCTGAACAACTTCATCATATGTTTGACTTCCAAAGGTGTAGAAAAAGTTGATGGTCCGGGTATTTCCTCCAACTCCGCAGATGTTCTTAAAGACGAAGGAGGTGGAAGATCTTGCGTTATTACCGCAAAATGCTTCGCCTTCAAATGTTTCCTCAAATTGCAGGTTGCACCACCTTTATAGGATAAGACATTTTTCCAAATGTCACACTTTGCTTTATTTGAATCAATTGCATTGAAATACAACCAAACACCACTTCTTCTTTTATCACTCATATTTTATTATATTTTTAAAAAGAGAATATATTATATAATACTTCTAAACTTATGTAAATATGTAAGCTATACTATTTGATATGACATAACCCAGCAGTTCTTCTCAACGCAACGTCGAGGCCGACACGCGGGATTCCCAGAACTCGTTAAGATAAGGATGTTGATGTCTACCGTCACGTTTATGTAGATGTCGATATCGATATTCGATATAGATTCGGTCTTAGGTATTGGGAACCGAAAGGATAAAAAACTAAGGCAGTCTCACGAGATTGGTAATTTGAATAAGATTTTTGGGTTGTTGCATGTTCCGGTTGTCAATTGAATATAGGCGAACTTTTGGGAATTAAAGTGTTTCATTTTGATTTCTAACGCCTAACTGAAGCAAAAGGCTGAAATTAATTTCTGGTTACAAAAGCCCAGAATTTATATTTTATTTTTAACCAATATTGTAACAATAACATATATAGCAATGTAATTTAAAATTCAGGGTAACGCTCATCACTACTCATCAGTCATTTCTAATTTCTAGTCTATACTCGATGATACCTATTTATAGGAGACCGAGACCGCATAATAACAGTAAACAAACAGTAAGCAATAGATTCGAAGGTCGGGGCCTGCATCAACGACATAAAGACACGAACAGGATTATTATTATTATTTATTATTATTATTTCACACTAGCAGTATTAAATTAACGGATACTAACGACAATTAATCGAGCCGATACTTGGTATCGGTATTGCATACTCAGTATGGGATACTTACAGTTAAAGTATCGGTATCTATTCGATACTTGCAAAAGTATTGATTACCCACCACTAGTAAGCAAGCGCAAATAATTTTTCATACAACTATCACCGAACCATCTGCCCATACAGCGATATAAAATCGATCAAACATCACGATATAAATATCGACTATCGACTTTTGTACAGTATCGATGGCTCGTACCCATCTTCTAATTCCAGCTGTAGCGATCAGCTGACCGACGCTAGTGATCCCATTGGTTGGTTCTTAAGATAAAGTTCAATATATTATATAAGTGACCTTGAAATAAGAAAACGACCATAACCTTAATATATTTAGTCATTTGTGCAAAAATGAACTGATTTGGATACTTGCTGCAACGTCATCATTAGGCGCTCCTCTGGCGATGTCCGATTGCGTTCAGGTGCCTTCTGCAGGTACCTCTTCAACAAGGTCAGGAGTTGATACCAGCTCGGCTTTTCGTTTTTTTGCTCTAGGCAAACAAGTCCAAGGCAGAAAAACACACCCGAAGACGAACACCAAAACAAATCTCTACCGCAAATTCGTCAACTTAAACAAAAACAACAGATGAGTCACCGCCTGGCTTTCTCGGTAAATCGTCGTGGAACACGAGACACCACAGAATTATTATAATTACGTCAATACGAGCATAGAACAGTATGGAAAGGGCTATCCAAGGGTAAGACGAGTTCCGAAACCACCCGAATCATGTCAAAAAATGGGTGTGACGTCACCAAAACGTTTGACCACCACTGGAAATCACTAGTTAGTTACTCTCTGGCGGCGTAACATGTGGAGGACACTGGTGTAGAAACAGCTGATCCTTAAATTCGGTTACGTTAAGTCGTGCATGAACCCGACATAAGTACTGTGAAATAATTTCATTCATTTGTATACCAACAGCGATATGTAATAGTAATTCAGTAAATAGCAAATTAGCCCCACGAAAATGATGCACCCTATAGTGTCTAGGTTTTGCGAACACGATGAAACTGACTCTCCTCGACTTGGTTGTCGGTTGTTACCATTTTCATTTATGGATACACTTGGTAGTCTGTCGGGGACCGTCGGTACCGGCTCGTGTCTGATCGCGTTCGCCCGAGTGCGTGGAGCGTTGCGCCGTTTTGGTTACCGGCTGTAGTGTGCGTGCAATTAAACATGAGGTATATCAAATGCCCCATACACTCAGTCCAGGAGTGTTTACCTCAATTTAAAAATAGTTTAAATAAAATACCTACGATATGGAAAAACTTATATTTGGGAGGTTCAAAATAAACTTTTTTAATAAGATTTTTCACATCTGGTTTTGGTAACAGTTTAGGAAAAGTCACGCGTCGCCACTGTTTTAATGATGTGATATTGTACAAGGACTGGTACTATAAAGTTTCAAATATCTAAAAAAGTAATATTATAATTCGTCTTAAACCCATCGAATGAAAAACAACCTAAAGCTAAAACTTTTTCATATTAATCAAGAGTTGAATAGAAACTATTGAAAACAGTATTATTTTATGTAACATTTTGGAGTAAGTACAATTCGCAAACATGCTGCAGCATCCTAAACACATTTCATATCCCGCATATCTAAACCGTTGCGCACATCTTTCATTCGAATACTATGAATCTATGGTTGAGGTGTCAAGTTAGGCGTCTCGATCATGCTCAAGTAATTTATAGCCATACATGGGCAAATGATGTGAATAACTTTAAAACACGCGTTTCAGAAATTTAAGCATAGGTGATTTAATCGGATAAACATGAGATAAAGTCATCTTGAAAGCTGACTATAACAATATTAGTATTGTCGAAATATCTGAGGTTTGACGATGATCAATCAGAATGAAAAACTCTAATAACCTAAGTAAAAATTCAATATGGCAAGAGACGTAACATCACACTGAAATTCTAATTATGTACTTTTCTCAACTTATCTCAAATCAACCTAGGAAAAAATAAATACGATTTTGGCAAAAACATCTCCGGAAATACTCCGAATTGCGAAACTGTCATTTTCTTAGTTACCTAAATGCGCAACATTACCCCCATTTAACCGAATGCGTATATCTTACCGTTTGCGAGATCCCAGTGGTGTGGGTCGAATTTGAAACAACCGGTATACAAAAAACAAAAATATACATCGAATTTATCTTAGAATGGGGCTATGGAAGGAGCATACGGATCAACCCGTGTACTCACGTCTTTATATTCAAATGAGTATGGGATATTCATTCAATATCTTATGTCATCATATATTTTGATTTCTTTTTAAGGTCTGATGTTTTGGGCCACATACTCCCCATAGTAGGGAAGGATTGGGCTCAATCTGGAGTAGCTCAACTATTTAACAAAATTAAGGATAATGGTTATAAGTTGTTGTACCTCTCGGCAAGAGCAATCGGCCAGGCTAGAATTACTAGAGAATATCTGAAGAGTATAAAGCAAGGGGATTTAACAATGCCAGATGGACCGATTTTGTTGAATCCGACATCTCTGATCACCGCTTTCCATAGGTAAGTCAGCATGTTATGTTTCTTTTTTAATCAGTATTAGACGTGGGAGACAATCAGAAGCTTTCTTGATTGCTATTCAGGGTGGTTTCAGAAACAGAGGCAGCTGTTCTATTGCCGTTTTCCTGTGGTATGCATTTTTGCACTATTTACCCACTTTTTATTATTCTTTTTCTGCTGTGCACTTTAGTACATTTTTCTCATCCTGTGATCGACTGAGAAAATTATTGCAAATTGTTTTACACTGAGTACATTATTAAAGTATCAAGTCATAATGTCACAATTATTCCCAGTTTATCTACGACCGACTGGAAAAGTAAACTTTTTCCGGGCGACTACAGAAACTTTATTCATTTGTTCATTGATAGGCGATGGCGCAATTAACAGCAGACAATAGTACGCTTAATTTATTTACTGTCACTTCGACCTGAAAGCTTTTTTCTGAATTTTTTATTAGAGTCGGTCATAAATAAGATTGTGTATCTAACTCGGGCGTAACAAGCATTATGTCTTAAATGGCTTAATGCCCTGGATGCGTAATAATTTTTTTCTACCAGCATATGCCCCATCTGCGTGCGGAGAGTAGCACTTTTCCGCACGCATAACAGTGCTACTCTCTGCACGCAGATGCGTGTTGAAAGTGAGTACTTTCCGCAGGCTTGTAGAAAGACTCTTATACCTAACACTTGCGGAAAGTGATATTTTTCCCAACGCGACGGTAGATGCACGAACGACGCGAAGTAAATAACTATAACGCGCGTTGGGAAACTTTTTTTCATATCAAACTGTCAATGTCAGAGTAAAAAGGTTATCTTTTTTACATCTGTGTCAAAGAAAGTGCCCAACACATCTCTACGGGCAGTATCGTCAGTCGTTCCTACAACTGTAGGACGCCTTTATGACTTCCTTGATTTCCATAAAAACTTGCATATGTGTGACTTCTTTAGATTTATACTCTGCCGACAATTGTGATGTTAGGTTATGTTTTTTGACGCTTAAAAAATTTTAGACAGATGAATCTAACGCCGAAGAATAATATATTTTCATATTGATAATTCAATAATAATTCCCTACATTGAACAAATTCCACAAGCAGTGGTCTCTTCAAATCCCATATCTGTTTTTATATATAAAAGCCTAACAGCTTACAACCAAGCTGTTCCGTTGATGAAGATAGGTAAGTTACTTCTGTAATTTTTAATCATTGCATATTAATATTTATATACTTATCGCATTTTTTTTAGATGTGATATTCATTCTCACAGACTTTATGAGATGTTGGTTCCTCCATGGATAAGAAACATTGTATGATAAGTGCAATTGCATTGTTGATGTCGGAGATGCTTTTTCGCAAATCATTGTGGATTGTATAGAGTGACAGGCTACAAGTATGTATAATGTATGTAAGATCATAATTACTATTGACCATCACTATTTCAGAATGCTCAAAATACCATGGTAATGTAGGATAACCAAAAGTGAAGTATTAAAGAGAGTAAACAGAAAACTAGAGTTGCAACATGAAGTTAAATCAGAAAAACCTTACGACATAAAAATTCCATGATTAATTACAAATGGGAAAATACGAGACAATTGTGACTCATCAAGGGAATCACTTTCCTGTTAAACAAATTCCAAACACTTAAAAGGGCCAGATAAGCCTAAAAGACCCATTATTTTGAAAATGGTAGGTACCTCAAAGTCAGACTGGGTTAAGCCCTAATAAGTAGTTTTAAGATAATTAATTGAGGCGCGTTTTACGAAAACCGCATAAGTCCAAATTTATCGAAATTGAGTTAGTGATACTATCTAGTACAAAAAAGGATATTTTTGATTACCTAAGCACATATATTTTTTTAGTGAAGAGCATATGTTTTAAGCTATTATTAATAGTAATTAACAAAAAAATATTCAAGAAAATTATTAGTTTTGAAATAAATCGTTTTTTCTGTTTTTTGAAAATTTTGTATTTTGGACATATGTTGTTTTTGTAAAACACGCTTCAATTGCATTGCAGTCATAATTCACTTATCATTCAGGTGGATAGATGCTGCAAGCAGCAAATTAAAATTCAGAACATTATCGTGAACTTAACATATAAGACTCATTTCAGGCAAAAATGAACTTAACCTAACCTGGCTCTGAGGTACAGAATTTGATTTGTATTTAAACTGCTATGTATAAATTTTGGATTTAAATTGCTATCAATAATGGAGACTTCAGATACTGAGTATACTAATAAAATATACATCAGTGGCATCATCAATAATAAGGAGATCGATGCAGTGAGCCTCAAAGAACAATTTATGTTGTATTTATCAAATGTGTTGCACCATATATTAATGTTGTAGTATGCGGTATATGGAAAAAAGCGAGTAAACTTAAATACACTTTCTTTTTCAATTGGTTTATTAATTGACTTGGAATCTTAACCTAAAAGGGAAAATCTATTAAAAATGTGGCATAGGAATGGACAAAATTTTCTATTTGAGAAAGAAATATCAAAAACTGAACAAGTTTGATATTTCAAACACTCATGTCAAAAGCAGAGTTTGCTAGTTATTAATAGACAGTAAAAAAATGAAATCTTTGGCTCAAAAGTCTGCATTTACCTCTTTTTTTTATTATATCGAAGCAGCCGCGCAGGCAGAAGCCTAAATGCCGGAACACCGCGGCTGCTATGATGATCCCAAAGAAATTTTATTAATACGATTTTTGAACTGCCTAAGGTTAATAGAACTGGGAAAAGCTTCCTCTTGTAGATTGTTCCACCATCTCGACATCCTTGGGACAAAGGAGCGGTCGAATCGGTCGGTTCTGGATGTACGAAGTTCGACACGGTTAGGATGGGACGCCAAAGTCAGGCGGGTCTGTCTGGCAGGCACAACGCGCGACGGCATCATGGAAGAGAGCTCTGAGGAGCAAAGCCCGTTGGTGTAACGGTAGAAAAGAGCCAGATCGCCGACAGCCCGCCGGTGGGAAAGAGTCCCGAGACTGTCCGTTAGAGAAGAGTCATCGATCAGTCGGACCGCCCTCCTCTGGACAGCATCGAGCATGGATAATGTAGTCGGGGCGGCAGCATCCCAAACGTGTGAGCAATACTCGAGGCTAGGCCTTATCTGGGCCTTGTATAGAGTGAGAAGCTCATGCGGAGAAAAGTACTTCTTAGCCCTAAACAAATAGCCCCCCAGCAGCTGCAGCTATTGACGAGATGTGTTCCTGCCAGATCAGGTCCTCGGTGATCTGGACTCCGACCAGCCGAAATTAATGGCTCTTTGGCAGAACTCGACCATCCATCGAAACCGGGTGAGCGCAGGGACGCTTTTTGTTCGTCAAAGTACAGTACTGCTCTTGTCAGAGAGGAAGTATCGCTAGTCTTCTTTTTCCCAACTCAGCGGCAGAGATCGGCTTGTCACTCTGAATTCCTCATCAGCGAAGCTGTGGATTGGGTTGATCGTGCAGGAAAGAAGGTCGTTGATATGTAAGAGAAACAGAGTCGGAGCCAAAATAGCCAGAGATAAAGTCAGCCACCCATCTGCAAAGCTTTTCTGGGAGGCCATAGGATGGAAGTTTGCTTAAGAGGGCAGCGTGTCACAGCTGATCGAACGCTTTCGTGATGTCAAGAGCAACGACATCAGCTTCACCATAAGATTGGATGAGTTTACTCCACAATTGAGTGACGTAAGCTAGGAGGTCCCCTGTGGATCGTTGGTGCCGGAAACCATACTGCCTGTCGCTAATCAAGCTGTGACGTTCGAGGTAGTCCAGAAGCTCGCGATTTATGCACCTCTCCATCACATTACTTAAAACAGAAAGCAGAAGAGCTATAGGCCTGTAGTTATAAGGGTCGGTCTTAGATCCCTTTTTTGGTATGGGTTGGACATGAGCAAATTTCCAGTTTTCTGGGAAGGTGCCGGATTCATAAGATATCTGGAAGATACGCGAAAGAACTGGAGCAAGCTCCCTCTTCAGTACAATGGCAGGAATCAAGTCGGACCAGAAGCTTTGTTGATGTCGAGCGACAAGAGCACTCGTCTTACGGTCTTATGCCTGAATGTTACCTCCCGCATAGTGTAGGGAACCCTTTGAATTGACGGCACTTGGGCGTTTGAGGGGGACGTCCATGGTGAAGTTGGCCACAAAGATCTCGGCTAGCACTTCCGCCTTGGCCTTTGAGTTGAATACAATAGTTCCATCCTGACACGTAAGTGGTCCAAGGCTACTGTGTGAGAAATTCTTTTCAATCTGCTTGGCCAGCGACTAGAAAGACCGACTGCCATTGCGCTGCGACATTATCCTGTGCCTAACTTTTATATCGTGCTGGTTTTTGGCATTGCGAACCGCTGCTTTATATTTGTTTCTGGACTCAACGTCGGCTTGTCTGTTCTCTACAGTGGGGTTTTGTAAGAAGGTTCTGTGTGCCTTGATCTTCTGCTGTCGAGCACCGTCACACGATTTGTTAAACCAGCCGTTGGACCCTGATCTAGGCACTTTCACTGTGTGAGGGATGTATTCCTCCATTCCGACGTGGATAATTTCGGTTATCGAAGAACAGACAGCCGAAGCATCCGCGTCAGTGAAACAGACATCTTTCCAAGGAAAGCTAGAGAAGAAATCTCTGAGCCCCTCCCAGTCGGCATGTCCGTAATGCCAAGTTTTGCGGCCTGTACGAGTTTCTGCTGCCACAGCGGGTTCTGACCGAAACCTAACCTCCACAACACCGCAGTCTCAGTTACCCAGGGGGGACAGCAGTGCTGTAAGGGACAGGATGCGTGTTCAGAAAGAGATCCAGCAGGCTACTGGCGTGTGACGAGACGCGGGGGAAAAAGTAGGGCTCGTCACCAGCTTAGTCAGCCCTTGGGTAATAGCGAACGCTTCGACTGCACGACCTGCTGCGACGGTCTTGTTTGAGCCCAACCAAAGCTCATTATGGGCATTGAAATCACCGAGAAGAACTACCTCTGAAGCGGGATGATTGATGTTCAGGAAGTCGATCTGGACGG